TTGACATCAACACACAGTAGACAGCCAAATGGGCTGCTGAATGCCCAGATACAGGCAGTTACATGACCCTATACAAAAGGTGCCAGGGTTTGACCTTCCTTGCCAGCATTGGTCAACTCTGAACAGGATCCGTACCCAACATGGTGTCTGCCATGACTCATTGTTTAAGTGGGGTCTTGTCTCTACCCCTCAGTGTGACTATGGTGCTCCTCAACAAAATATCCATCACATTGTGTCCAAATGTCCACCAAGAGCTTACACCGGCCCAATGTCTGATTTTTTCAACATAGACCACCCTGTCCTTGAATGGCTGGGTGGACTGGATATTAACATTTGAACCACTATAAGTTCATGTATTTGCCATATGCTAAATAAATAAATAAATAAATATTCCTAAATCATTAAACCACCAAGGGAGTGTTGTTAATCCTTGTCTTATTCTTGCTCAGCATTGAACCATTTGCTAAGCATTCTATTTATTCTCACGTGGTCTTTACTTTCATTATGCACTGCTCTTATCACATTCAGCAATCAACTGTTAACTTCACAGTTCAAGCTGACAGTATTTACTTCATGATATCCTTTCTCTAAATCAAGAGTCAGGCAATATATTTTCTCACATTTACATATTTCTCAGTGATCTGCTAGAGACCAAAACTCTAATTGGAGATACTCAGCCTTGCACAAAGTCACACTGTACTTGCCAAATTTTGATCATCATTATCCCTTTGATTATTGTTTCTATCAGAATACTGCCAAATACTTTGCAAATTACACTTAGCAAATTAATCTCTCACTACTTCTGAGATATTGCCCCCTTTTCATCAAAACTCTCTTTTCCTTATTTTTCATTATCACCATTACTTGCAGTATAATATCAATAAATTTATTTTGGGAGTATTGTCTTATCATATCACTCAAAGACGAATAGCTAACTGAAATAATGTACAAGGACTTTTTCTAGAACTTAATTCTAATAGAAATCTATTTGTATCTTTATCAGGGGCTTCAAATATTGCACAAAATTTATTTCTACCCAGATTAATTTAATTTTTGTACATGGTGCTTTCAAGGAAAAAAAGAGGCCTTCTAAGGACGTAAAAAGTTATATAAATCATAACTATAATAAATGTTTTCAAATTGTTTTTTTTCTAGTCTGTAATCACTCTCTTGTATACCTTCTAATTTTGGTAAAATTGATGGGAATTGATACAAAGGAAGCTAATAGAGGATGGTTCATGCATAGGTTTGGACATTCCAGTTAATCCTCTTGTGGTTCATCTGGACTGGACTGGACTGATAAACTCTGCCCTCCCCTGTAAAGCAGTTTCGGTAATTATTATGCAAAGTGCTTCCTGAAAGTCCTAGAAGCAGAAAAGGAGGGAAGACTAGAACTTCCTCTTGGTTCAGTACAAATAAGGAACCATGAAGTATGGGGGAGGACAGAGATTCTATCTTATCATCTGCTTTGTAAGTATGAAACTTAGTAGAAGGAATGAAAGGGATGAGTTGGCATTTTATCATCAAAGCAGATGCTTTAATTAATTGGGACTTGGGCTCCTCCTACAGCTACCAAAGGGCAGGCAACTTTCCCCCCAGGAGCCTGAGAAGATAAAGAAAGGAATTCAGTTCAAATATGTGATGTGAAGTCATTTTTTTTTTCTTTCAGAAATTGCTTGCTCCAGCCAGCAGCAGTAAAAAGGGGGAGAGGAAAGAACAGAAATGGGCAGGTATCTTTAAAAATACATTAGTCATCTGGGGCTGACAAGTAAGCAAACAAGGAAAAAAATAGCCAGAGTGGCTGCATTGACATGTTTGGAGGGTGATTCACAGCCCATGCTGCCTAGTAGTCAGAAAATCCAAGGCATACCCACAAGGACATACTTGCAATTAGCTGGATGTCAAAAATCAGATCAACTTTTTCATCGTCAATCAGCTCTTTCGAAAAAAGTGGCAGGATCTTTCCAATGGCCATCACACGCTACAGTGCTATGTTTAATAAACACGGGCTCTATGAGAACTTCCTCTGCCTGTTCGACTCTTGAAAGAATCTGGTAGAGAAGAGTGCAGCATTCTTCCCAGTCCTGAGCTCTCCAAAACTGCCAAACTAGAGCAGCAAAATTCCCAGCAAACCTGTCCAAAGACATTGTAATGCATGACATCCAGTTAAGGAAGGCTTCTGTAGTGAAAACTAGGACACCTACTAAAAATGGAGGTTGCCATTTCAGTTCTTCCGAGTCTTTCTAAAAATGAAATTTCTGAATTAAACAGAGCGCACTGGAGGTAGGGCTAATCAATTATTTGGAATTATTGCTTACCGTGACTTCTGTGAATTTTATTTATTTATTACCTTTATTTTGATCCCCATGGACTCCAGCTGGTATGCAAAGACAAGGACATATGTTTTTATTTTATTTTTCTGACTGAAGAATTTGACATTAGTTTGTATGAAATTTCATTATGTTATTTTGAGCGTACTTTAACTGATAATTCTGAATGTTGTTTTGTCTTCTAGAGTGTTAGTTTAGGCTCTGTACTATCCAGGTATGAGCATAGAGTATAGCATATTCTACATTATTTTTGTTATTATTAGAAGTCCTGATTTAACAGTCCTGGTACATTGTTCACCATTAGTTGCCTAGTGCACAGCAGCAAATATATAGAAGCTTAAGTGAAGTTATATACCTGCCAAAGAAGGAAAATAGGTTAGCTGTCTTTTTGGATGCATCAGTGAGTTTTCTTTGGCAACAGTACAGAACTGGTTTGCCACTGCTCTATTCTGAGATGCCTTTTCAGCTTCCCAGTATAGCCTACACCAGTGGTTGCCAACCAGTGGGCCGGGGATCACTGGTGGTCCACAAGAAAATTTTGGTGGTCTGCAGAGAAATGTCACCCCCAAAGCAATTAATCCAGGCTGTGCGGGATACAAGGCTGCGCCACCCACATGGCCCATGGGAATACAAGGCTTGCATCCCTTGCATTGTGAACAACATGAGGTAGTGAGGGGAGGGGGGAAGGGCAGTGGGGGGGGGAACTTGCCCCAATCGCCCAACGTGCCTTGCCTGGCCACCAGGCTGCTTCTTTCCTCTTCTTTTTTCTTCTGCTTTTGGCTGCATGCAAGGAAAGCAGCAAAAGTCTTTCTTTCTCCGCCAGAAATAAGTCTTTGGGATCCTGCAAGGCATCCTGCTCCAAGAGGCTGCGCTGGCGCAACAAGTCTCACAAAGACTCATTTCTGGCGGAGTTTGGGGGAGAGAAAGAAACATTTCTGCTGCTTCAGCTGCTTTCCTTGCACGAAGCCAAAAGTCTCTCTCTCTCTCTCCCCCTGAGAACGGAGCTGGAAACGGTATCTTGCGATCCCAGGTAAAGAATGATCGATCGGTAGGAAAACGGGGTGGGGAATTTTCCTGCAGACTTTTTTATTTTTATTTTCCCAGGATCTCTGGTCTGTCGGATTTAAAATTTTGAGTTTGGTGGTCCCTGAGGTCCAAACAGTTGGGGACCCCTGGATTACTTCCCTAGGATTCTGGACTCCTTTCTAACCAAGTGAGGTCTTGCTTAGCTTTTTAAGGTCAGGAGAATACTAAAAGCACAGCATGTTGACTACAAGTCTATAGATGCTGAATACAGTCCTGTGCCAGCATCGTTAGCATCAATATTTGTTATTATAATCAAATTATAATCAAATTATAATCAAAGGCCCACTATAGTGTCCATTTATGATACTGAAGGAAAATGGAAAGTATGCCTCTTCACACTGCAGGCAATCATCCCCCAAGTTAGTCCCCATTAACATGAAATGTAAGATCGTGCCATCACTGGGATGAAAGTTCCCATACTGGTCATGGCTCAGCTAGGTTTTTCTCTGTAGCCAGTTGTAAATTTATCCATCTGAATGTAACTCAGCCGGTTTTTCAGTGTCAAAAGCATTATCCATAATGCAAACTCCAGCAACATAATATTAACTGAGGATGTAATTCCAAAAACTGTGCGTGTCTTTTTAACAGTGTAGTTCAGAATTTCTCAGGCATTGCAACTTTCAAATGTGTAGACTTCAACTCTCCAAATTCCCCAGTTGGTGTAGCTGAGGAATTCTACCAGTTGATGTAGCCATGCCTGAGAAACACTGGTAGTTAGTTCTTTATTTGGAAAGCATGGGATTTATTACCTAAAAAAAATAATCCTGTGTGATTTCTTTTGAATTGGACTAACGTGAATATATCTGCAGTAACCTAAACTTAGTAAAAGTGCTTTTTTCCCTTCCCTTGGAATATTATTTTCCAGTTAAGTCAAGTTTTTTTTTTTTAAAAAAATAACTCCTAAATAATTCTGCAATCTACTATTGGTACAATCTTCATGTTGCTTTTTAAAGAATAAGATGTGAGCACTATCAACACACTGTTTTGATTTTATGTTTTAGTTTGGAGGTGTCATTTGAGCTATTCCATTTCCTGAAGTATAAACCGCCTTCATACTATCTTGTCTCTTTTAAACTGCTGAAGGAGGTTTGGGGCGGGAGTGGGGGGGGGGGGGAGAATAAGATGTGTGTGAGCACATTTGTTTACTTTCAGTGCTTCAAAAGAAAAAAGAGAACCAACTTTGTGCCAAGCTACTTATTATGGGTTCTACGGACTCCAAATATCTCATGCTCGAAGGAAACTGAGTAATCAAGACTGGATGCAATTTCCTGTTTTAAAAAATAACCGATGGGAGGCAGAGCTTTCAGGATAGGGGGAAGAGGCTGAAACTTGCCCGTTTGCAGCTTAAACTTTCTAGAAAGAACAAGGCAAGGCAGAGCTCCAGCGGCTGAACGCGTTTCCCCGGTTCTCGCTTTCTCCACTTCGGCAAACTTTGAGCAGTGTACAGGGAGAAAAGTTACAGCCCCTTGTCAAAGGCTAGCAGGCAATCCAGGGTTCGCAGCGTTTGAGGGGTGAAGGTAGGAGCCGCGGAGTGGAGTAGCTGGAGAGAATTGCACGTGGAGGCGGCGAGATGACCACCCGCTGGTTCAAGCGCGGCTGAAGACTCGTCCCAAAGTGAGTCTCCTCCTCTCTGCCCAGGTTGGTTGGATTGTTTGTTTTAAGACGTCCCTTTGGGGAAGCGGAGTGGAGAGCGGTGGGCTTGCGGAGTTTCACCACGACGAAGAGGTGGCGGGAGGCGGCCTTTGCGTCGGGTTGGGCTTCGCGAGGGGGACGATCTGGGGAGCGAGAGATTTTTTTGGGTGAGGGGAAGCCTGGGCTGGCGCGGGGCGGTTTCTCCAGCGCAGCAGCGTCTGATTCATCCCCAGGGCTGAGCGTCTTGTGGGCCGGCCAGAGAGGGAGCGTCTTCAATGAACTTCGCTCTGTCTCTCTCTGTGTCTCTGCGGGCGGCGGCGTCTCCTCGCAGGGCTCCTTCCGATGTCCCAGGTGCGAAGCGACCTCCCGAGCCGTTCCACTGACTCGCCCGATGGAGACTCCCAAGAGGATTCGAAGCTCATCCCAGTCCCCAGTACAGGTGAGTGGCCTTCCTTCCTTTCTTCCCTTTTTCTTCCTTCCTTCCTTTTTTCTTTCTTTCTTTCCTTCCTTCCTTCCTTCCTTCCTTCCTTCCTTCCTTTTTTCTTTCCTTCCTTCCGTCCGTCCGTCTGAAATGGAAGGCATGGAAATCCATGCTCCTTCTTTCTGGTCGGATTTTCAAATACTTGCAAGCAAAACACTGCCAAGAGAGGGAACGATCTCTTCCCCCCTCCCTCGCCAAACTTCGAGTGTAGGCATGAAGTTTCACAAAGCTCCTTGATCCCCAGCTGCTGGCTCCCTCGCTTTGTGCTTTTTATGCACATACCAACATACCCACCCTGCCTGGGGCTGCCGTCTCCCCCTCCCAAGATTCCATTTCCGAGGAAAGAAGGGCGCTGGGGGCGGCACTGGAAGTCCCTCCACGCTGGCTCCTCTCAGCCTCAACTTTGCTCCTGAAAGCCTTGGTTCCGGGAGAGACCCTTGGAGAGCCGAAGGGGGGGCTGAGGGCAAGGGGTGAGGTGAAGCCGACCACTTCCCCTTTGCCTTCTCTCCAGAAAGCACTCCTCGGGCGCCAAGTTGGCTTTGCAAGAAGCTGAAGGCTCTTGCTGGCGCTGGGCTTGGCCAGTTTCGGGAGGGGAGCTGAGAATCCAATTTTTCTCCAGAGGTCTCCTGCCTTCAGCCCCGCTCTCTTGCTGATTCTGGGCCAGCACCTTTGGAGCCCTGGCCTGATTCTTTCCTTGCCCCGCCTCCCAGCCCTGAGTTTTTAATAACTGCTTGCTTGTATCCTCTCGCCCAAACTGGAGCCGAGAAAGAACGTCTCTCTTTGTTCCCTTTAATTCTTTCAACAGATCTGGCTTCAAAATGGGGCGGGGAAATCGGCTTGGTGCTCCAAACCAGGAGGTTGCATTCCACCATCCATGCAGCAACTTTCAGAGCCAAAATAGCTTTTGGGGTTTGGAAAGATACCACAGTGCTACATTCACCCAAGATGCAAAACCCCATTACCAAATTCACCATTTTTCTGGCTTTGCATAAAAATACTGGAATAATCAAGCCAGCTGTACTCCGTGGAGATTCTCAGTCAACCAGGTTGTCTTAAAGGTGCTTTTTTAAAAAGGCAACTGGGATTTTTTTTTCTTGAGGAAGAAGACCTTTTACTTCTCATCCAAGAAGGTTCATCAGTTCTGACTCTGATGAACTGATGAAGCTTCTCGGATGAGAAGTGAAATGTCTTCTTCCTCAAGAAAAAACTTAGTCCAGTTGTCTTTAAAAAACACCTTTGAGACAATCAAGTCAGGTAGGTTCAGTTAATTGGTTTAAGTCACAAGAACTCTAACCAAGATATAATTTGTGGCATGAATGCTTCTGCGGGTCTATATCTGTCTTAAAGGTGCAGTGTGAATAAAGTGGAACAGCCACTTCACACAAGAATGGAAAGGGAAAAATGAGAGAATGGAGGCTGGATTTCGGTTCTGAATGGACAGCTATTGTGCTATGCAACAATCAAGCCACAAGTCTTATTGTGGATTATTTCCCAAATTATAACACTGAACTATCGCCAAAGTAAGTTTCTGCATATTTTTAAAAGCACATCTGGGAATTCTTCCACTCCCCTATCTATGATAAAGTTGTAGCTTTCCAGAAGTGCCTGAACTGCAACTTCCAGTGACCTAGAGGGTCATAAAAACTCCACATCCCTATTTCAATCAAACTTTACTGTTAATATTATTTTCTTACTAAGAAATATTAGATATAAAATAGAGAAAGGAGCTGGAGGCAGATTTAAACAAAACAATTATCTATGTTTGCACTGTAGGATGTGTAGGATGTATAAACTTCAGCAAGCACTCATAAAATACCGATTTTATTCCATCAGTTACAGGCTTTAGATTTACCATGCTGTTTCAACTCTTACATTCTAAATTAGGACAAAACTAAAATACAGAAATTGAATTACGTAGATAACAAGACTGAGACCCTTTACAGTCTGAGCTGTCTGGTTAAACAAAAAGTTTAGGTTTTTGCACAGATTAGAGTTATGCTGATACACAAGCTGTATGCACATATAGGTATGTGTCAATAAATATTGTATTCACCTCTGAGTGGATGGGATACAGGCAATAACATGTTGGCTTGCAATCTCAGCTTTCATACAGTAGTGTGAGCATATTTGGTGGGAAAAACTGGCCTTTGGTTATGCTTGTGACAATGGCCAAAATGTGCCAGGAGTGACTAATAATGTCTATACCACAGATTTCTATACTCGTGTCATGTCGTGATCACATGACATATTGCAACTTTTTCCCCCATTGAGGAACTAGAGTGGGCGTGGCCTGTGTGTGACACATCCAGCCTGCGGGCCGTGGTCTATCCTATTAGCAGAGAATGTTATAGTGGAATTGTGGTAATCTTGTGGTATTTATTATATAATTGTGGTAATAAACTAGCCTATTCATTAACATATTTTTAAAAATGTAAAAGTCTCTGTTGATGAAAACCGTGAGGCAGAGGTTAATATTGGTGGGCTCTGCTGGTGGACACAGCAAATGGAAGACTGCAACTTCTGGTGTAAGAGGAATTAAATGGAAAGAAAAACCATGAATTAACAATGAAAGGAATAAAAATAAATTATGCTATATGCCCGTGAAACTACAAGAAAAGGAAAGGGTTTATTAGACTTGAAAGGAGATAGTCTGATCTTGAGACATGGGCTTGATGAATACCTGCTTATGGAGGTTAAAATGTTGCAGGATCCAATCTGTGTCAGTCATTGGGACCAAAGGTTTAGTTTTCTGAGCTTTCAGATTTGTGCCTGAGTCCATTCTCCCAGACAGAGTGAGTGAGAGTGATAGAGAGAGTGATATATAGAGAGAGAGTGAGAGAGAGTTATGTATGTATGTATGTATGTATGTATGTATGTATGTATGTATGTATAGCATTCAGATTTGTTCGGGTATTTTCCCACGTCATTGTAGTTGTGCTTTTAAAGTTGTAGCAACGTTTCGGCAGAATCTCATCTGCCATCATCAGGCTTCTGTATTGTGTTCCTCTGTGAGTCAGACTTTTACAGTTGTTTCAGTTTTAAATTTGGGGATAGCCTACTGCTGTGCCAGAATGGTTTTTTCTTCATCCTGATTGGTTGGGAGTCTTGGTCTGTGTTAATTGGTCTTGGAGTTTGCTGTGTTCTGCTTGATTGGTTTTTCTAATATCTTCTGTCTGTTTTGTGGCTTTTTTTGTCTTGGTTGGCTGGCAACATTGTGTTCCTGTATTGGAGGCTTTTAGTGCAGCTTGGCTCTGAGTAAATGGACGGCTATCATTTGTTAGGAAGCTAGGTTTCATCTGGGTGCCTGGTTGGGGTGTGTTTGAGCTGGAGGTATCAGGGGGGATCTGTTTGTGCCCAGGTGTTTGCCTGGCTTGTGGTGTGGATATTTTTTTGTTTGTGAGTGCAGGCTTCCAAATAATTGACAGTCTGGTGGAATCATCTCTTCTATTCATGCTTTCAGGTCTTTTTTCAATCTCTATGGCTTCTCTGATAATTCTGTGGCTGGGGTTTTCTATAGTGGCTAGGGTTTTGGTGCCATTGAAGTTGATGCTATGACCTGTGGCTTTCATGTGTTGGACTAGTGAGGAAGTGTGTTCCAGCTTTTTTACTGCATTTTTGTGTTCATCCAGGCGGGTACTTATTCTTCTATTTGTCTGTCCAATGTATGTGGCAGGGCATGATGCACAAGGGACTTCATATATGCCTTGGTTTTCCAGGTCAATTTTATCTTTGGGGTTTCTAAGGATGGCTACTATTTTTCTGTCTGTTTTGAAGGCAGTCTTGATGTGATGCCTGTGTAGTATCTTACTGATTTTGTCTGTAGTACCTCTTATGTAGGGCAGGACAGCTGTTCCATAGGTCTGTTCATCTTCTAGGTCTCCATTATGTCTCAGTGTGTTTTTGTGGATCAAGCCGGTGATTTTGTTTTTGTGGAAGCCGTTGGCTGTCAGTACTTTAGTCAGGGTGCATAGTTCAGTCTTTATGTGTGTCTTGTCTGCCAGGCGTTTGGTTCTGGCGATTAGTGTTTTGGCCACGGAGTTTATCTGTGCTGGGTGGTGGTGGGATTGGGCGTTCAGGTAGCGGTTGGTGTGTGTTTTCTTCTGGTATATGGTGTGCCATCTGTTTTTTTGTAGATTAGTACATCTAGGAATGGTAGTTGTTTGTTTCCATTTCCATGGTGAACTTGATTTTGGGGTGTGTGCTGTTTAGGTGTGTTAGGAAGTTGTTTAGGTTTTCTTTTCCATGGGGCCAAATCACAAATGTGTCATTGATGTATCATGTATCAAGCCTGACTCACAGACTAACACAATACAGAAGCCTGATGATGGCAGGTGAGATTCTGCCGAAACGTTGCTACAACTTTAAAAGCACAACTATAATGACGTGGGAAAATACCTGAACAAAGCTGAATAACATACATGTAAGTACCCGCAAAAACTTTATATATATATATATATATATATATATATATATATATATATATATATATATATGTATGTATGTATGTATGTATGTATGTATGTATGTATGTAGGTAGGTAGGTAGGTAGGTAGGTAGGTAGGTAGGTACCCTGTTTCTCCAACAATACGGCCTCCCCCAATAGGAAGTCCCAGCATGTTTTATAGGCATGAAATGAAATTAAGCCCCTCCCCCCAAATTAAGGCCTATATTAAAACATGTGAAATGGGGGGGAATGGTGGGAGAGCTTGCCGTAAGGAAGTACTTTTGTTGCACACCCTGATATGGTGCTGCCTGTGTCGACCCCAATACGAAGTGCCCCACCAATGCCGAGGTCAACATCCAAGCCATCGCCGCCCGCCCGCCCGAAGATGCAAGGGGAGTGGAATTAAGTCACCCCCGAAAAGACGGCCTAGCCATTTTTTCGGGCCTCAAAAAAAAATAAGACCCAGTCTTATTATATGAGAAACACGGTAGGTAGGTAGGTAGGTCTCGGTGTG